AGTTGACTTTTAATACAACTATTTGATTTTGAATCAAAGATTTTAGTAGTGAAATAACAATTGTTAGACCATAGAAGAGAATGGCAGAGGCTGTATAGCAAAAAGATTTTCTGCCGCTGGTCTTCATAACCACAATAGTATCCTTTTCTTCTTCTATATAATATTCAATCATTTCTATTTGCCCTGATCTCAAGTTAGTGAATTTAAAAATATTTCGGCTATTAGTTTAACATGTTGTGTTAAACTTGTAATTTTATTTATTTTGTCATGCAGCATTATATTTGAATTTAAAAACCATTCTTCCCGACTGAATAATTGATATATACAACATAGTGTGCAAAGGCCATTGATGTATTTTTTTGGAAATACACAACATACAAGACATCGTATAATCACGTCGAAATCTTCAATAATCAGAGCAAAAGACAGATAAAATTCATTATTATGAATCCGTTCCTGGGCTTTTTCTTTATATGAGACTAATTCCTATATATTGTAATTATTATTTATAAATAATTAGGATTTTCAAGACCATATTATTATTTATTAATTACCTGTCCAAAATCAAAACCATCTAATTCCTTATACTCATTGGCATATTTTTCAGCTCATGTTCTGTTATGTTGGTGGATGTTTTGTATATTCAATTGTTGTTAAGTAGAACAATCTTTTTTTATTTTGCTGATATTAAATAGGTCTTGTTCTTCAAAAGATTGTCCACAGTATAACTCCCGAATTTCTGAAAATAAGTAAGTATATCCTTCATTATAGTGCAGAACTGCCAATGAATGTTGAGCAGTATATGATTGCTAGTAGTCAATTGTTTTAGCAAGATATACTAATTTAACCCGATTAAATGCTTTATTTTGAAATGTTCGATTTAGCGTTGCTATTCTTTGACCCCTGGGTACGTAATAAATCATCTTAAGAAATTGTTTGAATGCATCAATTCAGATTTTAGATGAGTGACAAAGAGTGGGTTCCTGCAAAGCTATTGTTGGGTCATCTTTTGTCTAATATATATCTGACCAACAATTCGAATGTTTATTTTGCAAGTGATAAATGAGAACATCCACCTGCATTTTACGGGTTTCTTCTTAAGATGGTGCTAAAGGATCTTTAGCTTCAATTTTCAATGCCATATAATAAATACAACCACGAAACCAGCGCATTATATGGTCTTCGAATTCATAAAATTGAATGTGTTTTTTATCACCTACAAATAAGCATTAAAAAGGTATTTACGATGTTTATTTTTACAAAAAAAATATATATATATTTACACTTATGACGTAAAGCATTTCTAATATTGCATGTTAAATGCTTTAGATCAGCGAAGACCTTTGATACAATTGGTACGTGTGTGAGTATTTTATTTGTATCAAGATCACTATCAACGCACACTTCTAATTGTAAATTGGTATCCTCTAACAGTCCAGTAATTTGGTTTAATATCTTAATTAAAATTGCATGTTTCATTTGTTTTGAGGATTTTGTAAAGTTGCCTTTATTAAGAACCTTGCTACGTCCGGCTTTATCTTTTGCAACTCTAGGTTTTTGAACTATGTGAAATGCAACAACTGGTTTGTGGGAGTAATCTAATAATTTAAATTAAAAAATTAATTTTAAATTAAAGCAAAGCTTATAACAAGTTATCATACCAGGTGGCACATCCTGACATATAAATTCTCTGCTGCCTTGATTTGCATTTCATACGTGTGCCTATGAGCAATTGAATCCAACAGCTAGAGCATTTTTTCCTTGTGATAATGTAAATTCAATACATCTTTGTAGAGCTTTCGCAGTGCTTGATTTTGCACTTTCTATAAGAGGTGCAAAATACATCTTTTGGTAATGATGATATATATTTTTACTTATTTGACTTGTAATTCCAATTGCTGCTAACGAACTTTGTACTACATTACAAGTAATACCTCCAGCAAGTCTTGCGGCTGCTATGGCTTTTGAGAACTGAATTTCTTGTGTTTTATTTGATTGCTCAAAAATAGCATTACATTTTTGGTATTCTATTATACTCTTGACTTGAAATCCGAGGAATGTGATGCTTCAAGTTTTATTCTGAAAACTAATATTATTACAACCAGGGCAGGGTTGTTTAAATACTAAAGCAAGATATTGTTCTGTAGACACAAGGATTGTGTAACCAAGTTTCATAGATTTTAATGTATCTTTAATACTTTTTTCTAACAACTCATCATCATCTGGATTTGAGCTCTTTTCTCCGAATTTATTTTCTAATTCCTCTATACGTTTCGACAGAGAAGCTACTTTTCGATTGAGGCCATAAATTTGGGCTTTAGTTTTTCTATACTCTATTATTAAAGTTTGAGTATCGTCCGATAATAATACCTTACCACTTTTTTCTAAAATTATATCTTGTTCTATTAGAATTTCTGTTGATGAGTTTTTATTTAATCTCTTATTCAACTTAATTCTTTTTTTCTCTAAACTCTTTCATTGTTAGGTTTCAGTCTCTGTTTGCTAATTAGGATAATAATCTAGATAACATTTTGCAACAGCTGCTTTCAATAATGTAACATTTTCCCCATCTAAGAATCTGAGCAAATAAGATAAAGAATGTGAATCTTTGGGATTATATTTTTTCATTACACTTTTAAAAGTGCAATAGTCATAACCCAGAGGTTCACATGGTCGAATGAAGTTAGCATTATTATAAGCATACCATCGAAATTTGAAATAATAATTTTTGAATGTAATACTAAATTTTCAAAATTTTTCTGACATGCGAAAATAAACCGAATATCCAGGTAACAAAGGAATTAGATCATTCTTGTAAGAATAATATCTAGCGGTTGAAAGAACATTCTTTTCAACTGATATTGTACTAAGACGTCCATGTAGGAGCTTAATATCTAATCTTGGATTAATTTTTCTAACAATCCATCCACGCTTTGAATCACCCATTAGAACTCTCTTTTCTCGCATCTCGGCAACAAGAGTTTCATACCACTTAGATATTTTATATTGATATTAAGAATTGCGAGCTTTTTTAAAGATATTTAACATATTAAAGGTAAGAATTGTAAGTTTTTCAAAATCAGATTGTATATTCTCATTTTATAGTCAAATTCTGACCAATGATTATTCTACCGAATCAATGACTTGTTGATTCAGAAAATCTTAGCGATCAATAAATCAATGAAGCTGCAAATAATATAGTATATAAAATAGATTTTTAGAACTATTAAATTGCCCTTCAAAGCCTGAAGTGATGTATATAAAGACAATAATGAGATGAGTATTACATGTTTTTTAGTTTATTGTTTTATATTAATTAATAGTTTGTATTGTGTATTTGGTATTAGCCAAATTTATGTTATCATAGTCACACTATAAGCACAATTCCGTATCATCAAGGCTAAGAACTTTTGAATATAGATCACCATATGCTTAGAAACTTAGAAGATTGTGAAAAATTACTATTTTTTTAAGATTTTATGTTTTTTTAAATTATATACTTTAATATTCTTTATTTTTTTGAAAAATTTGAAAGATTTGCCTCGAACATTAAGCAAAAAAATGTTAAAAGAAGATGGCTTTATTCAAAAGAAAATCGGTTCAATGAATATTTGTGTACAAGACACATGGTATGCTATGAAACAATTGGTAAAAGCTGAATTGAAGAGAAAATTAGCAATGTATCAAATACTTATCACGTTGAATTAGTTTCTTTAGATTTTGTAGTATATATGGGCTTGATAAAAGCAATCAGTGTGCATGAAAAATGTATAGCTATAGTATAGAAAATTAATGATATAATTTTGATGTAAATGATTTAGAAGTCAAATATAGTATATATAAAGGAATAGTAATAAAAAATTAATTATTTTTCACTTTCAACAAAATACTAAGAACCCTTACCCATGTTAAGGTAGCTTTACTAAAAGTAGGGTCGTGATATTTATTACCATAAATAGTCAAGATCTCTCTAAATAGTAGACCCATTATATACTATGCCCAGGTTAGAATAAAGTTTTAGTAAAATATAAAAGACCCAGGATATACAGAAAAAACTAAGAAAATAGATTAGACCTTCCAATTATCAGACCTACACCCATACAAGAGACTCATGAATCTAATTATAGATTTTAAAATTGGCGAAATATAACAGACCCGGGTCTTGTATCTGGACATTTATATAGTTTTCATTTTTATTTTCTTTGCAAAACTATATAAATAATCGAGAAAATGAAAGACATATCTATCTGGCTATTTTACAATCCCTCAAATTTACATGAAATCAAAGTTCAAATATTGGATGTTTAATTTGATAAACTGTGATGCTAATGAAGATTTTACAACATGCTGGTACCTAACGAAACCTAATGTGACAATAAAACCTCTTCAAATGAAATCAAAAAAAAGAGTTCTTATCAGAAAAATAATGTTCTTGGGTTTAATGAAATAATATGTAAAAATCATTAATTTATTTGTACTAGATATTTTCTGTATTTTCAAAATTTCAGCACTAATTTAGCATTCTCTTTATCAAAATGTTTCTGTTTATTCATTAAAGTAGCTTAATAACGTAAAGGTTAACACAAATGGCATGATTAATCTAAAAAATAATTTTTTTTTTTTAATTCGTAATAATTTAAAAATGATAGATTAAAATATAACGTGCTTATTTACTATTTCAAGCTATAAATGCCAATTTTTAGAAAATTCGACACTTTATTATAATAAATTATATATATAAATTAATCTTCCTCCAATACTACACTTTTTTGGGATCTTTTTGATGAGCATTTTGGTTTTGATAAGTGAATAGTTGAATGTGATGATATTGACATATCTGAGGATTCTGTTATAGTTAATTCCATATTTATATAAACTTTAGGAATATACAATATTTTACACACAGTGCATGCAATTGCTGTTCTAAAAGAAAGTAGATTATGGATCAGAGAATAAACTTGCTCTGAATCCATTGTTAGAATATGTAAAGGAATTTTCACTTAATCAAGCAATGAAACTTTATATAAACCTGATTCTTTGCACATAGAGCAAAATTCCATAGTATCCCTGACAATATTAATTGTAAATATTGTCAAGTACTCTATTGATAACTTTTCAGTTTTTCTTTTATGTTTTGATTCCTTAATAAAATCAATAGAATCCTTGCCAAACCTATTCAATTTTTTGTAGTCCCGTCTTTGTTTGTCAAGAGATGATTTCGGATGACCCATTTCAAGGTATCCAATCTCAACATCTAAGCTATTCAATTATGCACCAACCAAATAATCAGGACGCCTTGCCTGTTTATTTGATTCCTTCCTCTCTGCACTAGCTGAGCTCACCTTTTCTCCTCTTTTACATTTAAAAATATTAGTATGATATACACAAAGTAAAAATAAAAAATTAAAAAATTAAAAAAAATAATATATATACCATATTCCCTATATATGAGAATCTACCAATAAATCACTCATTATAATATTCATCAATAGTAATAAAACTTCTGCTATATATGACCCATCATTTATGGAGGACAATTTGACACCCGTGTATGTCTTTCATTTAGATGAATTCCAAACCCAACTTAGCACTGTTAACATTTGATTAGTTAGTTCGTGCAATTTCTCAGGTTTATCTAAAAATTCACAAAATTTTGCATTTCCAAATTGTTAAGAAAGTTTATTATACTTCTCTTGTTCTTCATACAAAAATTTTTCGCAAATATTTTTTAATGCAATATTTGCTAGTAATTTAAATTTTTCATCACTCTGCATTCTAAAAATTTTTATGAATTTTTCTTTCATATCCATAAATGGTTTTAAAGAATCGTCTATGATTTCTGAGCATACGGGATGGTTGTATCCTAAATCCTTTATATTTAATTTATATAACTGCTTTTCTACAACTTCTCATATTTTTTTTGTTTTTCCTGAGGTTTCTGATATCAACTAAAATATAAATTTATTAGTTTACTTACAATCATTTTCTTAAACCATAGCGTTACAAATTGGACTAAAAAATGCAATCAATTATTGGCCAAAAATTTTTTAAAAAATTAATTATAACCAACTAATCAATTAATTGACTAGTCGACTAGTTGATATATCGAAATGGCTTGGATATTAATTATAAGATCAAAGTATGATACTATATAAAACAACTAGTCGATTAGTCAACTAATCAATTAAATGACTAGTTGATTCGACAATTGATTCGATTAGTTGTTTAATAAAATTATCAATCAATTAGTTGACAATTCAATTAATTAATCGATTTTCGATTTGGAATGCTATTAAACCAATCAATGTTATTTTATAAAAATAAAACCTGCTTTACTTGGTCTATTAGATTTTTTAAGTTTTTTGCGTATCAACCACCCAAGGCATTTCTATACTCTATAAATATATAAATATATAAATATTATAATAGTACTTAATTAGAATTTTAAAACATAATTGAATAAATATACCAAAACGTTCATTTCTAATAAAGAACAAATATATTCAAATGCATCTGATATCTAAAATAAGCAAATAAATAAATATCTAAAATAAAGCTTGTAGTAATATTCATGTATGTACATGCAATCAGATTAGTTTTTTTTGTTTATATAAATTTCAAATTAGCAGCTAGCGATAAATATACCTCTGTAGAATTTGTATACGGCATTTTATGCATATAAATAGCTACTCCCAACGCCCTCTCGACATATAATCGAGAAACTGAAGTCTATTCGCTATTTATACACTACCTTATGCGTTATCCACATTAGTAATAAGGAGTAATAGAAATTTTTTGAACCTATCTTTCAATTTATTATATATATATATATGTATTTCTACAACTCCTTCAAAAAAACCAACCTTTCATTATATTGAGTAAATTTCTAAGCTTGTAATAAATATAATAACTTACACGTTGATTCAAAAAATCACCTTCTCTGAAATCATTAAGCTGCTTTAATCTCTCATTATCTTTGACACTTTTTATACTGTTTATCGCTTTATTGAGTGTTTCCTTGAAATTTTTTAATTCTTCTTTTTTGTCATCCATCCATTCTCCTGTTTCAACCCGTTTACATAAAGCGGTAAAGATATTGATAGCAGAAATAGAAGTATGAGAAGTAAGAAAAAATTCCATTTTGAAATCAAGAAATAAAAGTTGCTACGTATTAGAAAAGTTGTTAACTAGATAGTTACTAAGAAAAAGTGACAAATAACAATTCTCTTTTAACCAGTTTTTATACATAGCTTCTTAATTTTTGAAACAAGGACATGTACCAGTACATATATATATTTCTAAATTTGGGTAAGACAATTAAATTTCTATGGTTCTAGAAAACCAATTAATTTTTTTTTTTTTTCGTGCTATCTAGGAAGATTATTAGTCATTCTAGGAAGATTCGATAATATAAGCACTTAAGTTTTTTTAAATAATATAAGGGTTTAAACTTTATTACCACAAATAAAAGAGCTAAATCTATATGCTAAAAGATTTTTGTAAGAATCAATTGCAGTTAAAAATTTTTTACTAATTGCGTATTATAAATACAGATATAAAAATTTTTTTTATATGATAAATTATATATAAAATGATCGATGTGTACTCTGCCCTTAAATGAGTATCTTTATAGTTGGGATGCAGGTATAGTAGCTAGTGTGAAACCTAGAACAGACTACTTAAATAGGCAACCAAAAGTTGCATATATTGCTAGTCATACTCCCATTAGTAATAATCAAAGAGCTTAAATAGGTAATCTTCTAGTTAGGTTGCAAGTATGGCAGCTAGTATAAAACCCAAACAGACTACTTAAATTAGATATCAAAAATACATATGTAGCTTGATATACTCTCGTTGTAA